CCAACTGGTTCCGGGTTCTGGATGAGGGGAAACGCGGAAGGAAGTGATCACAGTTAAATTAATTTTTTAAATGCTACCAAGATTTACCTGAAAAGGTCCATTCAGGTTTTCTTTTTTCTTCAGAATACCAGAGGGCAGGGTTGGAAGGTTTGATGCGAAGGGAATATTATTCAGAGTAACTATGGCACAAAGCTCAATATGCCTTCGTAAATTTCTCTCGCTTTCCAATTCTCTTCCTTCAAAAGATGTTTGGAAAATCATTCGGTTAAGTGAGATAAGGGCGCTTGCCAGTTGGAGACAAATGTAGGAGCTGAATGCATACCCAGAAATGGAATGAACGTGAGCGAGCATGAGTGGTTTCACCTGGAAACCGCATGCACAGCCCTTCATTTCCCAGAGAATGGTTTTGCCATGCAAGAGACAAATGAGAAACCCGTGTAGAAGGGAATAATAAATGGAGAAAAGAAGCCCAGAGAGCAGTCATGCAAATTGATTGAAAGAAAACGAGCCGGATCGTTTCCTTTCGGGCGCAGTCACGCGGGATTTTCTCCGGAAGCGAAACGGGGCCGAGTATGAATCGATCAACTGATTGCTCGCGTCGTTTTTGCATCCGGCAGTGGCACCGGAAGCAAACCATATGTTTTGCGCCAGGAATTGACTCGACCCGGATTTCGGAATCAACGCTGATCATACCTGAGTGGCAGAAGCCCAAGTGTCGTCCGAAGCACGGGGTTTCGCCTCCCTGATTGATATTAATTTGCAGAACGTTTCCACCGCTGCTCCTGCACGCCAATTCCGCAAATTGATCTCCCTTTTTCCACTCCGGGAGTTTACTCCCCGATATATACGCGTTTAATATGAGAGAAAGCTATTTTTCTCTATATTGGCAGAAAGTCTGCCACGAATAAGTGCCACCTACGAAAAACAAAATTATCGGAAAAAACCAATGCAATACTTGGTTTTCTTCCCTTAAACAACCCAAAGATTTTTGTCCGTTGAGAAAGTTTATCGTAAAATTGCTCTAGAAAAGCTATTCGGTTCTGCAAATTCCGCTGATGAAAACGTGTCCAAATACAAAGAAAATTAATCAAGAAGAAAGTGGTTATCCTTAAAACAGATCAGTTTTGTACCAAATTTAATATGAGCAAAACGAATCGAAAGAACCATGTATAATGTGATGGGATAATGAGAAGTTTGTATAAATTTTGTTTTCAAGTAGAATAACAACCGAGTAACATAAAACTTTTTGACTTCAAGAGAATAATGCCGTTCACGTTCTTCAATTGTTTTTAAAGCATTTGAACATCTACCCTGGATTTAATATGTTTGCCAGTTTTTACGTTTAGCAGGCATTGACGGATGCGTCTACTTTGTGCAAAAATATCTGGAATGTATCGAAATTCCGAAGTCGAAAAAAATGGAAAAGAAAGCTCCTCATCACGGCAAAATTCAGTACTGTTGAGAACCAGTATACGTATACAAGTATGTTGTTTACCAGCGGTTAGAGATGATATTTTCAAAACATAACTTCAACTTTGAGGAGAACGAAATTTTAACCAAGCGTCAAAAATGTTTGTCAAATGTTTTGCATTTTTTGTGGAATGAGGAATTATCACTCGGAAAAACTTGAAAACCTTATAAATCTCCTAAAATCCAGGGCTACGGTAAAGTAAAACATGATGTGCAACATCTTTCTCGCAAAATTATCTGAGCATGAAAGACCCTGGCTGACAAATTCATCGAGAGACGGGAAGCTCTCTGCCTTCGGCTTTCAAGCTTGCCACGAAGTTTTCCAGATACAGTATATTGACATATTTAATATATTTTTTGTAGGGGATCCGTCGTGTATTGTACCTTTTCATCGAAATATTCTTCACTCACCCAATGGAAGAAACTTCGCGCCCGCAGGAACTACGTTCTTGCCCTTTCAAACTTGTGTATGGAATCTAATCTTCGGTATCTCGAGACTCTGGGGACCATTATGGTGCTTTTGTTGCATAAAATCGAAACCCTCGTGACGTCCTCTGATGAAACCTGTGACACAGTTTTCGTCGTATGAATCCCGGAATCTGCGAAACAGCAACCATCCATCCCGAAAGCTCTGGAGGAAGGAATACTTTTCACCTGGTCATTCTCGAGATGCTTCTCCTCGGCTTCGAAGTTTTTATAAATACCAACCGAGGTGAACTGATGAGGATGCAGTTGCCACGCGCTTCACCAGAGGATCTCGTGGCAGCGGATGTCCGCTAACAAGGGGTCGAATGCTCGACTGATCAGCAAGTTTCCTCGACGGGAGAAAACCCCAGCATATATGATGTTCGGGTGCATCAATTAAGAGCCGGGATCGGAGGTGAGGGTATTTCCGGAGGTGGCAGAGCAGCATGTACGCGACGGGATCTTATCCTGCGCTAGTTGATGGGCTCGGGTTGCTGGGTCATGAAATGGGTTCCCGAGAAATGAGCTGTTGACAAGAGACATTCTCCGTGAACGACGTTTGATGAGCATGAAAATGCCGCGAGCTCGTCGTTATTGCGTCGTGTTCCCCGACGCCTAATGTTTTTAATGAGGGCGTACTCGCATTAAATATCCGCTGTTATAACGCTGAGCTAATGCCGGAGATGAAGCGTGCAGGAAAAGCATCCCACAAACACGGCAATTTCGCCCATGAAAGGAGTGCAGGAAAAATGCAGTACCCTGAATGCTGCTTTCAAGTGCCCATCGGTTGAATAACTGCTAATTTTAATGCAGGGCTTGGAGGATGATGATATGCTGTGCTGCAATAGCATTGTGCAGCAATTATGGTTTCAGGCAGTGGGGTGCTACTCTCTTTCACGAGTTGCAGGTTCTGCGTCTTCTTGCTCTGGTTCAAATAGTCATGCTGCACAATATTGTAGACATGTTCTGTCCTTTAATGTTGGCATACAAATAATAAAGAATCGATGAAGTAAGAATTGATGAGTCACCTTGAAGTACGGAGCTCTTTGTAATTATTTAAAAAAACGTAGCCCAAGAACTGCGAACATAACGTTGCTCTTACCGAGACATTATGTCTCCACCACCATAATATCCATGAAAGGTTACCGACAATACAGTATTAACTTTTGGTGATGGAATATCGTCACACCTTTCCTGACATCTACTGTCATATTCGCTTCATAACAGCTCATGGTTCAGTCAGCTAAGAACTCAAGAAGTCAGGAGTGGTCATAATCGGATAACATAAAGAGCTAACGGTTCAGCGTTATGGTTCAGCTGGTGTTCAGCTTTTGAATGTTTCACAAAAGAAAAAAAAAACTTTTCTTGTGATACTCCTCGTACGTGGTTGGTGCTGGGAACAACACGCATGAGGTCGGAATTTGCTGAAATGCGTTAATTTTTTGTGCAGCATGTCCAAGAAGACGATAACAAACAGGGATGATAAAATAAGTCCCGTAATCGAGATTCTCCTGAAAAAAATACACAAATGGCAGCTGACATGACAAGCCCCAGCAGGGATGAGAGTTACTCGAGCCCGTGATGGAGCTCGTTCCACGCACCATTCGACCTCGCCGCGTTCCCCGAATGGGTTACCCGATGACATGCGATATGAGGAGAAGACGCGAGCATCGTCGAACTGGGCGTAAAGCGCAAAACGGGAAGTGCATTCGAGTGCGTCAGCTTGTTCAGTGCGTAGCTTATCCTCGATTTTTAAGCGCTTTTCCGAAAAATAAACGAAATGAATTAGCTCCACGACGAGCGATCAGTTCTCCTGGATTCGAACTCGTTCCTAAAAAATTCGACGAAGGTGTTGCTGGTTTTATCCACAACATACAATAACGCATATTCACCATTAAAAAAAAATCGGTTAAGGTAAGAATATTGAATAAATCATCAGCTTCGCCAAGAAATTTTAGGTTTGAATTTCTTTGTGGTTTTTGGTCAAGTAATAGGATTTTTCTTCAATTTCCAAAAATTGAATCCTTGATTGAACCACTATATGGCTATAAGGATGGCCAACAACTTATAGATAAATTAAAAGTACAGTGGCCCCCTGCCTAACAGACCTCCCGTTTAAGGGATTTTTGCCAAACAGACCAGCTCTGCAAGCAGTTTTTCCTCCTGCCCAACAGACAAATTCCGCCAAACAGACTTCTTTTGGTTTAAAATTAGTGTTGAAAATTGAAATTTTTAATTTTTTATGTAATTGAATCCATGTAAAGGACTTTTTGTCTAACAGACTTGCCCCTTGCACGAATCAAGTCCGTTAGACGGGGGTTGACTGTATATATGTTTGATACTCCAGGCACTGTTCACAATGGAATGCTTATAATGTATTTAGCAATATGAAAAGCCCGGTTAAATCTTGAAAATATGACACATGAATTTTCCGTCTCAGTTCACAGGCTTCATTTAAGCTGAAGATGTGTTCACGCCTCTTTTTTTTTTCATCCTACTATGATCAGTCCAACAAATTGGAAACCCAACTGCCATCTGCAAAGTCGCTCTATCATATCCACATTGGTTTTTGTTGTCATGAAGACAGTACAGTACAGTATTGCGAGACGGCGATGGGGCATTTTAATCGCGCAGTGGGAACCCCAAAGTTTCACATCAGCCGATATGACAACAAAAATGTATGCCTAAAAGGAATTTCCGGTGCTTCAGCTTGCATCTCCTTATTCTAAATCGTTGAAACTGATTTAAAAAAAATTTTTTACGTGGGTTGGCTTAAATATGCAATTTCGAATCAATTTCGTTAAGAATTGAACTCCCCGGCGAGAAACCTGTTTACGGCAACATCAACACGTTACTCAACGGATTGATGATCACTTTAAAAGAGGTGGCGCAGAGGGAACTGCATTAAGATGTAATGAACTTCGAGAGGGCCCACTTTTCTTTCGGGACCAGCTTTCTGTCGCATTCCTGGCCACTAAATGCGATCCTGACCCGCTAAAAAAAAAAAAAAAGGTTTGGCCAACGACTGCGCCAGAAATGCGCGTGTCCATCGCGACGCTTCCTAAATGCATCCCACGGGAAGCCCATCAAAATGCGGCTCTTCCGCGATGAGGAATGAATGGTTTCCGGCCCGGAAACAAGCGTGCAACGTTCGGGGGTCTCATTCTGCAATCTCTTCCGTCTCCCTTGGCTGGCGAGCTGCTCAAATGATTTGGGTCAAAGCAGCCGAATGGGCTCCTGAACGTCAGGAACAGGTTTTGACGGAAAGGAAAGGGAAGTCGAGTGTTCATCACAAAAGCGAGAAAATTGCGCCGGAACGTCGCCTTCGTTTGTGTTTCGCCATCACCTCTGCATTTGCGTGCTTCCGGGGTAAATACGGAAGATGATTCTCGGGCCATACGCGGAAGTGGGACGAAGCCGAGCTCATGCGTCGCTCTTGAGAATTTCACCATCTTACCTGCGTAGCAGAAGAAGCACTGAGCATGTGTAGTATAAAGTGTGAAATCCGGTTCCTGTGTCAATCTGACGTTCATGTTCATGTCTAACGTAGTAGCTGAAAACCCGAGGTCCCGAAACTTTTTACCTTGTACATATATTTTTGAAATCTGAATATCTGTGACGGACCTGATTCATATATAGCCAATATTTTCAGAACCACTGGACCAGTGTTCGCCAACCTTTTTGGGTCCAAGGACCGGAAAATTTCCAAAATATTTTTTTGGCGGACTGGCAAAGTTGAATAAATGTTTTCCAGACTCAAAAAAGTTTTGTTTGAAGGACTATATGATGGTAGGTATTTGAAAAGTTTCTGCTTATTTTCAAAAATCAACTTAAGAGCCAATGATGCAGGTATTAGCGGAATATTTTCAAAATATGAGAAAGGTTTCTCAGAATGAAAAATGAATACTGTACTGTATAATAAATTTCAGCAGGTGATATATTTTGTCTGAAAGGTTATTAGGAGAAAAGTCAACTTTTATTTTTCATCGGATAATTTCAAAAGTTATTCTCTTTCCAAATTTGCAAAGAAAGATTAAAGACGTCATTGCGAATTTTGATACATTTATAATGCTGTAGAAAATTTCTTGTGGACTGGCAAAACACTTCTTGCACACTAGCGCTGGTCTGCGGAGCATGAATTGAAGAACACTGCACAATCTAAAAAAAAACACGGAATCTGATCTTTTGGCATCAGAAGGAGCTCATCCAGGAAGCAAAGAACAAGAACAATTCTAGTTATACGGGGTACAACTGGTGGGCAAAACTCTAAAATAAACACAAAATTAGCCGTTTTTATTAGGAATTGGAGTAATTTCATAATTAAATTCATTATTACTTTCTTGAATATAAATACTGTAGCTCAATTTGCTGAAGAGATACCAAAATTTTGAAAAGTCAAAATTTTACCGTATGTCATAAAATGTTGGAAAGTGTCCGAATCTCAAGATATTGTCCTGATTCAAATGTCTTTATGAGTCGAATCTTCCGTATGTCGATGCATTTGTATGTCAGTGTCCCGCTGTATCTAATAATTTCCCCTGGGCAGGGCAGGCGAGGAAGCTGTGCATGGGAAGTACCTTCGAATTTCTCTGATGAAGCTCATATGCTAGGATCCTCTGTTCTATAAAGAAGATTCATTCATGCACCCACGTCAACCGTCTTTCAACGACTGTCTCTCTCTCATTGTTTCGCCGATTCCTCGGTTTCAACCCCTTCAATTTCAATCCGAATTATTCACTTTGAATGCTTATTGTGGGGGAAGTGCTGGTTGCTGGTCGTCCTGCTACACCGCGCTGTCGGTAGTGTTCAAGCCGGTATATCGAGAGCCAACCGCATCTGCGACAGCACACACTGACAGCAATAACAATCACGGGGCATATGACGGGCTGACTTTTTCACTCGGTGTCCACCGACGCAAAAGTGAGAGCAACAGCAACGATCATCGAGGATGTCTAGGGCCCTTGAATTGAACGTTGAGTCGTTGATGAGTAGTTGAGTAGCTGGGATAGGATGCGGAGACCTGCACTGTCTCATCGGAAATTCGAACTTTTTCGCACTTGCCAGCGTGAAATCGACGTCAGACTTGCCTGAGACAAGTTAATTCTCGTCAAGTTTTTGGTGGGAAATCCCACGGTCTTGTGCTTCCGGAAGCGCTGAAATCTCCACTTATTTTTTCACTAAGACATTTCCTTCCATTTCGAGTCGTATTTACAGCAAATGAAGTTCTCTATTCGTACGTTCTATTCTTGCGAGGTTCTGGATTTTTTTTTTAAATGTCTCATTGCCATAATCGTCACCAAAACACCGATGAGAGGTCGGCAGATTAAAAAAGAAAATCGTGTTGTCAATTGTATTTGCTGTTGGGCATTAGCGGAATCCATAATGAGAACATATGACAAAAACGCTGTGGAACAAGTAAAAATCCAGCAATCAGCCGGTTTTCAGCCAGGAAAATACTGTACATCCAAAAACCTTTTGAATATATGTTCTTAGTTTCTTAGAATGATTTTTTTATTTGATGGAAAAGAAACAACATGATTCACAACGAACACTGAAAACACAATACACCCGATAATAAAACGAATCTGGAAAAAAAATTAAAATTAAAATGCAAATATGAATGAATGAATGAACAGAACACTCTATTTGCCGCTTTTCAGCGTTCACAAGGTTCAATCAAGATTTTCACATCCAGCGAACCCCCTTCCCAATGTAAATATAAAATATATTTATATGCAACTATAACATATTTGAATATGATACAGTAATAAAGAGAGATCAATTATCCCTCACAATGAGGACTGCATGAAGACTGATTTTTAATCGACATAAAAGTTTAGAGGAGGAAAACCCTCATTTGATTTTTCTGAATGCATTCTCTCCACATCATTTGCACCAAAATCAGCTTTCTCGTATACAGGTCACTGCAATTAAGGAAAGATAGAAAATCATGTGATAGAAGCAAGGCTAATGATTGTTCATCTTTGATTCGCAGGGAATCGCGTCATTCACAGAGCAAGCTGCATTGGCCGGGATTTGCGTGGCTGTCGCTGAGAAAATAACTCGCAATGCTCAACTCCATGATTTCGATCAAATCGTAAAGAATTTGGCCTCAAAACCAAACGCCCGGGCTGTTGTCATGTTCGTTGATGAGGATAATATCCGGTAAAGAGAGCGTCAGAGCTTAGGGACGTCGAAGTACCGCGTTAACCTCCCGATTCTTTCATTTGCAGAAAATTGCTGGCGGCAGTCAGAAAAGCTAATAAAGTCGGGCAATTCTTCTGGGTCGGCAGCGATTCTTGGGGAGCCAAGATTCACCCGGTTCGGGATCAGGAAGAGGTTGCATTGGGTGCTATCACGATCCTACCTAAGCGTCAAACAGTCGAAGGTAAGTTCGGTCGCACGTCTTTTTCCCAAATTGTTTTTGTTTTTTTTTCGATGGGTTCATCTGAAAATCCGAAAACATTGCTCGTGTTCCACTTCATTTACATTTTGAACGAGTGACGAGTCACAAAGTCTCTCGATATGCAATATGTACCTTTCAAGTCTCCTCGGGGATCGAGGATCTGGGACCCATTCGCACCTAATGGGAGATTGCAGAGGCTTGGTGCAGTTGGCTGGAGAAGGATTTCCAGCCGAAAACCAGAACCACACGTGGGTCGTGCCGTTTCCATTAAGGGTTCAAGTATGGATTATATCCGATCTCGACTTAATCACAGACGTGCGGGAACCATAATTGATGCAGGCATTCAAGCAGGGCCGCGAAAGGAATCGAAGTTCCTTGGTTCCACGCGGCGGATTTCGTAATTGGGCGGTGATTCGCGGTAAATGAGGCATGACCTGATGCGGTCCCTATACGCGGTTTCCCCAGGAAATAAATTGCCGACGTAGTTATATATACCCCTGTTTATTAAGAGAACACGGGAATTTCAATTTTGATGATACAAAAGGTACAATAATTGAAACAACTGCCAATCATCGATATTGGAATCTATTTGCCTTCGTTCATCATTGAAGAAGCGTCACGAAAAGAAGTTTTCTGAAGTTTACAAAATTTAGAATGATAACACTTTTTTGCAAGCACAATAAAAGTAGTCAACGGAATATGCCAAGCAAGTAAAAAGGGGACGAGTAAACAAAACATCCCACTTGTTACCGGAATAATTTCCCGCATTTCCCATTTTATTCTTGGATTTCGAACTTGGCGCATGGAATAACACAGTGACTGATCAACTGCACTTTTGCATTATGCATAGCATTCACGAGAAAAGTTCGAAGTCATGGCCCAAGTTGATCGAAAAAGGATTGGAAATGTTGACTGTCGCACAAGTAATGCTGAACTACGCGTTATTTATATTTCCCCTGATGAAATGAGAGCATTTCAACGATTACAGAAGTCAATATAAGTTAATGTTCAACTTTTTCTCCACAGGCAGCTAGTTTCACTCATTTTTTGTACAGAAAAAGTTTCGTTCAAAATGTGAATAAATTCTACGCAAGCCGAGGTGATGAATTCGTTGGAAACCATCGCCTTTGCCAAAATACCAGGGAAAGAGAGAGAGACTGTTTGAACCCATGACGCCAGAACCAAGCTTTTGGCACTCTTCTTTCTTCCAATCTTGATCTGCAAAAGTTTCTTCGCAAGTGGAATGAGCATTCTCCAAAAAAAATGCATCGCAGTCGCAATCTTATGGGGAAGAAAGATTGCATCGCTTACTGATAGTCTTCAGGGATAAACGATGACAGATGTGCCGTTCCAGGGAGTATGCTATTGTCAGTATAAATCTAGAGGTCATCATCTATAGGGGCTAGTAGGTTTCATTCGATGAGCAATGAAAACAAAATAAAAAGCATTCTTCCTCGTAATAGAGCGTAATTATTGAGGTGTGATATTGACTGAAAATTTGCCAAGATGACTTTGGCTGGCGAAGAAAATTGGCGTTATATTCAGCAAGAAATATTAGGCCCCGTACTAGTGGGGGACCTTAATTAAAGGCTCGCGTTCAACCACAAACGAAAGGTAAGTATTAACGGTAAAGTAGGCATATTACTTCTATGCATATATATGCACACTACGTTTCAATCGTACGTTTCGCACTCTTCGACCTTTGAGTTTAATCATTTCTCGGAATCCGAGCACTGCTGCCTTCATTTAGAAGATTCCGAGGACTTCTACGTCGTTCGTCGAAGCCGTCAGAGCGCTCGTGAAACATCAAAGGGAACATTGACAGTGTTAACGAATCACCGCTCAACTTTTTCTCCGGACTCGCTGCACTATACTGTACAAAGCGAGACGGGGTTGAATCTGTCAAACATGTTCCGCCCCCTTTATTCGCTCAGTCCCTCGATATTGTTTGTGCTTTTCCTACCCGACAGGATTCACGGACTACTTCAAGCAGTTACGACCACACGTCCGCGGGGACTCGTGTGGTTCGCTTATTGACAGAGCAGAGCGTCATCAGCGCAAAGTGCACGCGGATGAGTCGTCGCTGTCGGGGTTCAGCTCCAGGGCCCGCGGGATCGAGGGTTTGCGGCAGGTCCTGCGGAAAACTGACCCGAAACCCGTCGTCAACTGCAGGAACCCCTGGTTCAAGGAGTTCTGGCGCAAGCATTTCAACTGCACCTTCAAGGAGAAACTGGCGGCCGAGAGGCGACGTCGTCATTGTTCCGGGAAGGAGAAATTAGACGATTTTGCTCAGGAAGGACTAGTTCCGTTCGTCAGTGAGTTCATTCCGAGTCCATCTTCCATCGCGTTCTCGCCCACGTTTCCTATTTGTGCTCATGCATAAATAGAGTGCAAAACTCACTCCATGCCAGGGGGCCGAATCCCGAACGAAAAAAAAAAAGTTCTCGCTGGGCCCCGCAATGCTGTGGCACAGAATCATCAAGTACTGTACCACACTGGAAAATTACGTCTGCATGCAATTGTTACGCGTAATTCAAACATTCTTCTATTATAAAATTGATTGAAATGCTGATGAAGTATTTCTGAATCGAAAAAATACACTGGGGCCCCGACGTGCGAAACATTCGACTGATTGGGGACACCTTGAACTTGAAAAATATGCCCCAGCGTCCGGAAAATGTCTTGGAGATACACACACTCGGTCAATATTTCTATGGAAATGCACAATTTTTAAAATTTTCTAAATTTTGATATCTCTCGATCAAATTGAGCCATACGTACTCGCAAAAAATTGATAAATGAATTAGATTATGAATTTACTCGAATTTTCGAATTCATAATCTAAAACAGGCTCATTTTGAGCATCCTTCTTTGGAGTTTTTTTTTTATAATCTGTGCACAGTATGGCTGGCCTAGCGTTTTTTCTTTGCTCTTTGGGCTCCTTTGCATGCCAAAAAATCACTTCATAAGGTGGTTTTTCTTTGCAGTTATTTTCTGCATATCTTGAAATTAAGAAACACTTATTCTCAATTTCATTTGGGAATTTTTATATTTTCGATAAACAGGAGAACAAATTGAATGTTTTCAACCGCATCTCGGGGCTCCATTCTATCTTCCTATAAAGTGTGGGTGGAGGGGTATTGTAATTTTATTAATATTTTCTCGAGGAAATCCCCGAAGATATCGGAAGTGCTACCTGTATGAGGCCCAAAAACTGAATGTTACGCACGCCCTGTATAAAAGAGGCAGCAAATTATATGTTTTCTTCTGAGAATTTTCAGCAACAAAAGTAACCTGAATGTCAGTGTGGAATCTTTATATTGAAACAACGTAATCGAAAAAAATACACGGACGATCTAAGGTGGATTAGATGCATCTTTATGATGAAGCATGCATGTTACGCCCATTCTGCATTCCCTGGACACATTCTTGGGATGCAATCGCATTTGTTTTTCCCCCGATGTGCTTTTGGATGGAACTAAAGGCATTAGAAGCAATTTCCAAAAGAGCCTATCGAGTTGAAAACTTGTTACGAAGCGGTAATTGGATTTTACAGTGCGACGCTTTCCCATCTATTCGGGTAAAACAATCAAGGGCAGACTTCTTTCAGCAGTACACCCAGCCTCGGTCGACAGTTTCCTCGGAAAAGGGACGTGACATGTAAGACCATTAATTAATTCGGATTCTCAACTATATACTCATCAAAGCGGGACCCGTTGCTGGGAAACCCAGCTGACGAAGAAGACCCAATCCAGGACAACTGCAGCCAAAACAGCTAGAACGCAGTCGATCCTTATAGAAAACCCGGTTCTTCTTCTTCAAAATAAATTCTAGACCAACAACTCACGCGACGATGTCGCGGTGGTAATTTGTCATGCAAATCGCCGCTGTCTATGGTCCTCGAGAGAACCAAGTTTTGAGATTATTGAGTTCTCGGAGAACGAGCCGAACTTTCGCGATTCTTCTCAGTAACGTTATTCAACCCCCTCGAGGAACCTTTTCAGGGAACATAAATTACCTGTTGAGAGCGTGGAACGACCGTCATTCCCTGGTCCGCCGAGGCGCGGATGCGTAAATCTCTTCCTCGTAAATCTGAGCTCTGGCTCCCTGCCGGAGTTTTCATCAAACACTCTGGAAATGGGTTCCTAATTTGTGCTCCGTGCACTTCCAAGAAGGCTGCTTAAAACATATACGGATATATATAACCCAAGAAAAACTAGACTGCCCTTGTCAATATCAGAAATTAGAGCAACCCGGAAAACGTCAGGACGAGTGGGAAATGCAGAACTCGAAACTTCCACGTCCACGTTTCATGGAACAGAAACCAAAGATGAGAAGTCTTGAGCTTTTGTCTTCAAACATGCTTTCCTGGACACGCGCTTGGCCTGAAAGACTCTGCCATATATACAGACATTGTTTGTCGAAGAAGGGCTCCTTGAGTCGAGAAAATATAATTTAAAGTATTCTCCTATATGTCCTGCTGCATTCAGATTCCAGCCCCGATGACGCAGAGTGTTTGTATACACGATGACCAGCAAACATAAACATTTATAATACAAATGCTGGCTGCTTGACGAAAACCCGAAAACGAAACGGGGAAAATACGATGAGTAAATCATAGCCCAGTTAATGTTTGAAGAAAATCGGGAAAAGCGTTTTGAAATCATTTTTTGGCATTTCAAAGAAAGCCGAGTGATCCTTAGCTTTGCATATTTATTGCTCTTGAATCTCATTTTTCAAGGGGTGGAATAAGTTACAAGTATTGTAGTGTGCCACAATATTTTTCTGCAGTTCACATCAGGTTTTCATTTCAACGGATATACGCGGTTTTTCTTGCTGACGCCATTTGTATATTTTAAAAGGTGCTCAGAATTTTTCATGAATTCATATTAAAATATGAAAAAATCAAGTGAAACTCATCAGGAGGAACAAACTCGCCCCCTAACAATACTCTAGGCTATTCGCAGACGTGTCTTATTAATGCATAAAACAAAACATTCCAACATCTTTTGTTGGAGCAGAAGCGATGTTACAGGTAAAACCTCTTGACTCATTATAAAGTAATATGCTGGCGAGGCTCACTTTTAAAATTGTTTTTCGCTTGCCTCTCGTATTCTCATCAAGCTTATGCTTACAGAAAAAAATGAATTTTCTTGTCCGGATGAACCTGCTTTCAATGTACTGTATACGTGGCATTCTTCGAGAACAATATTCTCGATCTGAAAAAGCAATTATGTTTGTGTCCCCAGGATATCAGTCCTATATAGTACGAGAGTCTTCCCTTTGTCTTCGCGTTGTTCATCCAAACGCAAACAATCCTGGCTTCGAAGAAAATATAATAATACCTGCTTTCAGGCAGGTTCCAAAGTGCATGTGTAGCCGGTTACAGTGTTATTGTTGCTTGCAGTTGATGCCGTTTACGCCATGGCTCACGGCTTACACAACCTGATCCTGCACGAGTGCGGAGAAGACGCGTTTCGCACCGGGAAATTGTGTCCCGCGTTGACACCCGTTCCCCCGGGTCCTCGACTCTTACCCTTCATCCGCAACGTCACGTTCGTCGGTAAGTTTTCCCGGCTTTCATCCATATATGTGACGATAAAAAGGAGAACTTCTTGGGAACTGGGCTTATATGCTGCGACGTATCAATTGATGGGCCAAGTAGCCGTTTTAGCTCTTGAGCGATACTATTTTGCGGTCGTATAGAAAAAAAAAAAAGTGTATACATGAACGTTTTGATTTGAAAATGCTACGGTTTTGGGCTATGGGTTGAAATTAATGACGGGAATATGCGGCTTCACCAGTTGCTTTGTTTCAGGCATGAGGTGGCCCCATATACGACGAGGGGTCTAACAAAAGTTCTCAGCAGGATAGACATTGAAACGGCATATGATTCAGCTAAAAAAAAGCACATAGCTACAGAATAAACATTTTTTGGCTTACTCGATAAAAATTCAGCCCTGTTGAACGTATAAATATTTTTTTGCAAATTGTTCGCCATGCTGGCAGCTGCTCAAACGAGGAGGCGCCCATCTCGAAGATTTTTTTTAAAACCCAGTTTTTCTTTCAGAAATTCTTTAAATTGAAATTCCTTTAATTCCAAGGGTTGCCTCCAGCAATTCTTGCGACATAATCCCACCTGAAGATCACAAGATCCTCGCAGAAAAGCAAACATCTGAAGAAAAACTTGGAGAAATCTCATCAATCGATTATCACATTGTTTTATCTTCGCGCCCACTTAATCGTGGGAAGATGTCATCTATCGTGGCTCGAGATTCATTGATAGAAAGAAAGAAGCAGATGATTCCTTTCAAAATGCATTTCAGAAGGAATTTCACCTTTGCTTTCGTTTCGGGCATTGCAGGGAACGAGAAGCAGGTAGTCCGGTTCAACAAGGACGGAGACGCGTACGGCAGTTACAGGATCCACCAGTACCAACGTCTCGCCAACGGGAAATACGATTACAAACCCATCGGACGCTGGGAAGAGGAGTGAGTAAATACGCGGAAATCATTTGAAAACCATCAGGGAATTTGCATATGCAAGCCTGAATGACGCCGTTTGCTCGACGCATTTCCCGTACGCGGCTTGAACAAGGGAAAGGAGATTTTGCTTTTCCCCGTGCGTCCCGCCATGAATGAACGCTTGAACAATCCTGTGGCGGTATTTGTGCAGCGATTCAAATCCCATTCCTCGTCAGGAATTCACAGACACGAATGCCATTTTGAGACAAGAGTTCATTAGCCTAACCTCAATTATTCTCAAGATTATCACCCTCTCCAGATGATTCTTCCTCAATCACTGCGGAATTTCCGGGTCAGTCTCGGGCGCTGGTGTTCCATTATTTGTTCATGCTTTACATATCCACTCGAAAACTGAAGTCTCTTGAGGTTTCTGTTTGTAAATGGAGCACATTATGCCGGTAAAAGTTCTAGGGTCTGGCAAAAAAATTATATATATTGGTGAACTTTCTTGTGGGCTAGAATTTGAGAAAACTTATGAGACAAGCTTCGTGTCTCCGCATGGAAACTGGGAAAAGGAAATGCATTCCCGGGTCTTTCGAACGAACTATATCATATCGGGGCCCTTCTTTGCTCTTGGCATCATCGATTCAGGTCCTTGAGCATGGAAGTGGAATAAATTTCGATGCCAGCAGCCTCTGGAAGTTGAGGAGCGATTTGAAAACGGCATCAGCTTTCGTGAAAAATTTTTTTTTAGAATGCGAGTGGATAAACACCCAATCACGTTTTTCCATTCCTGAGAATTTCATTCCAGGAAATAAGTCTTGTGTAAAATGCGTGGAAATTTGACCAGATCGCATTCCATCGAACGAGCATTGGACATCCGATGAAAGTGTCGAACTGTGTCGTCAGCTGGACTGACAACAGTTGGTCAATTTCTCATTGGCCCGGATTCGGTGGTCAAGCAGAAGGTCGGGTCGGGTCGATGTGCCGAGCAGTGGGCAGAGTAAACACTGTGTGGAACCATGAAGCTGGCATGGATTTCCACTTAGTGCCTTCGAACCCCGCATGCGTTCCCATTGTCTTGATGCTCTCGTAATGGCATATCGATGTAGGAATGAAATGAATCCGTTTATTTCCTTCCGGAATCAAACCCCCGCTTCTGAAAATTGGCGTGAAACAAAGGCAGCAGTCCGGAGAAATCAATTTTCACGCTCTTCATTCGACTGAGTCGACCTTCTATATCCTTTTCTTTTAGCACATCGCCTATAATTATCGGGAGCAAAGAATTTGAATTTTTAAAAAACAGCTTCGACTGGGGTTTCCAAGGGTCTTAATCGAATTTGTCTTTGGTATCGTGACACGCTTTCAATACATAATATAACAGTGTTTGTGAAACATATCTCGGGTGTGATGAGTACCACCGATGGATTTCACACGGATGAAAAACGCAATATTTCATCCTTGTTTCAGAAGATCCATACACAAAAATTACTTCAAATGCAGTTTTGGAGTGTCCAATCCAATTTCCCAAGCCAATTTCCTCATCAAGTTCACACGTCTTATTCTTCTTCCGCCTTTTGATGTTTCGTAAAAAAAAGTCCAGGTTGAACGACACATTTGCCTTGTTTAAAAGGCCAGGCATACGCCGGAGAGGATTTTGATGATTGAAATTGATCGTCTGAACCTTCAGTCAATGATGTGGGGCTCCTAGAAAGTGGGGTTTCGCGCTGGGATTTCGTTGCTGTGGCACCGATTCAAAAAGAATTTTTGCGCAGGTTAATATCCACGGCTCGACTTCACATTGACCTGAAGCTGACGAAATGGGCCCCAGGATCCTTGGAAGAAAACCACACTGTTCCAGAATCAAGGTGCAGCAAACCGTGTCCAAAGGGGCACATCCGAAGTTTTTTGGTGAGTTCCAGCTTTTTTTTTTCCTTCTTTTGCTAGCAGCATTATACGTCGCTGATCTTTTTGTGGGATTTCTAAATCGATCACCAATATCACCACAAATCCTGTATGGGACGCCTTTTTAAAGTTGGAATTTCAGAAGAAAAAAATGAGGGCACGTCCGAGAATCGAATACTGCACATATTGCACGAAACTTTATCAAGTGCGTGCTTGGAGTGATAAAAACAATTCGATTGCCGTAAAATTGATGATAACTATTTTATGCGTTGAACGTCTTTCTACCATTGAGCATACGTCAATGTGCAAAATGAGGGTGTATATTATGGAATTTCGAGGTAAAAGCATGAGAAAACAGCCGGCGACCTTTCAGAAGAAATTATTTTTGCGGCTTTTTAACCTGACACGGAGAACCCTTGCTTGTTACCCGAGCATTCAACTTGGTCGAAATCTGAAAAGAGTATTTGTTTTAATTTCAGTCTATCATTTTTTCTCTTCGTAATTGAGGATATGCTTTTAATATAAACTGGATGAACTCTTCGGTTTACTTGGTAAAATATTGACTACGCGGATGTGGCGTTTTCAATGCCCCAAGGACAAGAGCAACGGCTGAGTTAATGCAACACGCAGTGCGGCAGTGACACTGACGTAGTTCGTGAGATGAGTGTTTCATCAGTAAAAACCAAGGGTTTCAATAACGCGATGCTGGATTGATCGCTATATGTCACCATGAACAAACTACGCCTGTAGAAATCACCGAATCCAGTACCCATGCTAGTCGAAGTTCAGTTCCTGGTTTAATTTCCCAGCCATGGGGCCACGATGGGTGAAGCTATCTTTGGGACTGCCATATGCAAACATGATGACGGATGTGGTTTCAAACCGGAACCCGGCCGGGTGTCAATTATACTGGTCCTAAACTTCCTGCCAACTTTCGATAGTGTCGGTGTTTGACATTACCAAGGAACAAATGGGCTTTCCAACAGCAGTCACAATGAGCACCAGAAAGTTTCGCGTCGCCTGTGCTTTCATCAACGCGTCTCTTTCTGACGGGCGGGTTTCTTTGAACATAGAAACAGATTCTTTTGGGGCTATATTTAGTACTGTACTTGAGATTGAAGCGGCACATGTCAAACGGGGGAAATCGCAAGTACAGTATTCAGTAGGGTGACGCAGAGTGAGTATTAAATTGATGAAAGGTCGCATTGGATCCCATTTCCTCAGTTTAAATAAAGGTGCGACCTCAAACACAGCACGTGGTATAATTGAAGAGAATATGAAGTATACGCAAATCTAGAACATTTACCAGGAAGATGAGAGTTCTTTCTTACGAAAAATATAATAAATTCGAGCTGTCACGTGTGGTTTAACTGCGGTACAACGTTAAAAACGAGAAACATGGCGAAAACCTTTTTTTTCTACCTGAAATCAGTTTTTTGGTCCAAAACCCCTTCGAATATCGTGATCAACGACAATAACACAGACCAGTTTTACTTTCATGGTCATGCGAAGGATTAAAAGACATTCTTGAGAGTCTTGACTCACTACCTGTTTTAACACGCAAAATAATCCGGAAATTTTGACCCGATGCTTTCCTTTCTGACGGAACACAGGTACAAATTTTCTTTCAGAAAAATAAGAGTGCAAAAGGGCTGCACTGACGAAAATAATGCGTCCTATACATTTGGATCAATGTTTCTGGAAAATTATCGCAGACTTTCATCCATCAAATTGTTATCCAGGAAATACTCGGGTTTGTTTCCAAGACCTCTTTTTAAATTGCACCAGAATCGCCTAAAATTCCCATCCGAAATTTTGCAAGAAAAAAAAAAAAAAAAAAAAAAAGCGGGAAGATGGGAAATACGTGTGAAGCTGTCTGTTGTCACGGCAGAAAGGGTGGGACTGATTAATCCGAAAAGGTGAAGTTGCCGTCGGCTTGCTGTCGGAAAAGCGGAGACAAATGGACGGAGGAGACAAGGCGGGATGCTCAAGTTTCGAGATTCAGCCCAGGCACACGTCGAAGAGAATAATGATGCAGATCGGCCTCCAGGGACCCGGAGATCTGCCTGCCTGCTGGCTTGCTCGCCAGCCTTTTCTTCCCCAAAAAAGCTGCTGCTAAATCAATCGCTTCATTTCTGCTGCTTCCAGAGCTTCCTGTGCGCGGGGGGGAAGAGGAGAGGTAAAATTGCAGCGTCGCGTCGTCCTTTTATCTTTCACCTCGATCCCCGCGACTTCTTCGAAAAAGACGAGAAGTTATTCCATACATTCACAATAGGGGTGCGGGGATCAGGGTGAACTGAGGGGAGCGGATTGATCCGTGAGCATCTGACAAAAAAAAAAACGGGCTCGCGGTCGGATCACGAAAGCCGTGGGTGTCATTGCGCGTCTCGGTTTCCCCGGCTGGATTTCGAAAAGAACATCATTTTTTTGCAGACATTGTGAATGATCGTCGCGAAAGATGGTGTCTACATATCACAGCATCACGAACAAATCGTTCGTCTTCTCTTTCTTTCGCCCATTGAAATAAACTTCTGATTGCAGATGCAAAAAAATCAAAATAAATCAGTACAACCGCTTTGAAAGTGTCTTGCCTGGATGATAAAGACTTGTTTTCCTCGACGTGAGCAAGTACTCGCCGTCGACAGAACGAACGCAACTGATTCTCTGATGTGTACCACGTTTACGAAGCCGAAAGCGAGACCACAATAAGTGGTTCATCTCAAAACAGCACAAGTTCCAACGGCGAGAAATCGTATACTCTGCAAACACAGCAGAACAGCAGTACTGGAATCCCATGAACTCCTTCAGACGAAACGCGCTGCAATTTGACTAATTTTGGCGCTTTTATTCATCAAGATGGTGAAACTTGTTCTGAAAAAATGAACAGATGATTTCTTGGTGACTGACTGAATCCTTGTTCGAAAATTGATACTATGAAAATTTCCCGCACTTCTCTGTTATATCTCAGTACCCATTTTTCTTTGTCTCGTGAATTCAGTATTTGTTAGGTTAGGTTAGGTCAGGTTATGTTAATTGAAAGATACTTGTAACTAACATAACCTGACCTATCCTAACTTTACCTAACCGCCTCCCAAAATCAGTTTCAGCAGAATGCGGAAAAATGAAATTCACAGTTTCTGGTAGGTGCACGGAAAGTAGGTACTGAAATAACAGGAAATTACCAAATTTCCTTCCCCATATTCTTGTTCTCACTGGCTGTTTTCGAAGTCCGGTCATTATCGACAAAGTTTCTGTTGATTCATGCTTTGAAAAGGGTGCTACCTCATCATTTCGTCCCTGCCAATAATGGTAGAAAAAAGTTTTTCCTTATTAGTGCAGTTCTTGACAAGCTATGTTTTAGAACGCGTTGTTACTCATTGGCCACGAATATTCTGCGCGATAATTCCTACCTGTGAGCCGTAGTGAATGATGTGTATCTGATGATGCTCCCACATTTTTAAATTGTGTATAGGACAACTGCTGCTGGAACTGCGTGCCTTGTCGAGAGGACTTCTTCATCGACAACGACACCTGCGTGCCCTGTCAGCTGGGCTGGATGCCGGACGAGAACAGCGTGTTCTGCATCAAGCTCGTGCCCGAATACATGACCTGGGACTCCCTCTGGGCCATCATCCCGATCACGTTCGCGTCGCTCGGCATCATCTTCACAGTCCTCACCCTGGCCGTGTTTGTCCGCTACAACCGGACGCCGATCATCATGGCGTCGAGCAGGGAGCTCTGCTACGTCCTGCTGTCGGGGATCCTCATCTGCTACCTCATGTCCTTCGTCATCCTGTCCAAGCCGTCGACGACGACGTGCACGCTGCAGCGGATCGGCCTGGGCGTCGGGCTCTGCACCTGCTACTCGGCCATCTTCACCAAGACCAACCGCATTTCCCGCATCTTCAACCAGAGCATCAAGAGCATCAAACGACCTTCCTACACGTCGCCCAAGTCTCAGATCGTCATTTGCTTGGGTGCGTACAGTACAGTACAGTATACTGTATACTCATGTCACGCGTCATCCTGCCTTCGTCATTTTTTTTCGAGAAAGTTGGCTCAACTTTGTAATTTTTCTCGCAAAGCAAGACGAACTTCCTTTAATAACGGTGACCAACTTCCTCATCACGGTTTGCTTGAAAAAAGGTTGGCTTTTGTTCAGCAGTGGGCTCTACTTGGAAATCCTAAAGCTTTTTTTTACATGGTGAGCGATAAACGTGAGCCGATTGCACGGTAGGAAAAAAGAAACGACCAAAAAATATTATTGTTTGCATCAATTTTCGAATGTGACACTCGAAAACATTCAGAAGATATTCGGTAAACAGTAAAGAAAACTGCTAAAAATGATTTTGATATTTTCATCCGGTAATGGAATTTTCACTAGACTTCCGAGGATCACGCCGACAGATTTGATTATTGTTACTATTCGCATTGAACTAGGCCATGTCCAAATGGCCAAACTTACTGGTCAGGTAACTTTCAGAAGCAGTAGTTCGGAGAAGCACTGGGCAAAATGAGACCAAATGAAGGAATGATTGAATTATTGAAGGAATGACCAGGGATCTTCTTGTCACGCAGGGATCGTGTCGGTGCAACTCATCGGCTGCATCGCCTGGCTCATCATCGAGAAGCCGTCGGTCCGGGAGATTTACCCCGTGCGGATTCAAAGCGTCCTGTCGTGCGGCGTGTCGACGTTCAGCGTCATGATGTCGCTAGTGTACAACATGATCCTCATCGTACTCTGCACCCTGTACGCTGTCAAAACGCGGAGGATCCCGGAAAACTTCAACGAGGCCAAGTACATCGGGTTCACCATGTACAGCACGTGCATCGTGTGGCTGGCCTTCGTCCCAATCTACTTCGGCACGAACAACGATTACAAGGTGGGGGATTTGTCAATACAGTATAACGATAAAGTGGGCGAACCACATATCCAAGAGATGATATTATTGCTGTCCTAAATGCCTCATGCTTGTTCCGTTTCCGGAGTCTCGTGTAAAGAGAGGAGATGAAAGGAGAAAGCGCGATGCATTGATTACAGTTTCGCACTGGATTGGTTTTAAGCGTGTTTTTCTGCCGCTTTAGATGCAAATCGCCAGCTTGTGTATGTGTCTGAGCATCAGTGCAACCGTGGCACTCGTGTGCCTCTTCTGCCCGAAGCTTTACATCGTCTTCTTCCAGCCGTACAAGAACGTCCGCCAGGGAGCTCAGGTGAGCAACGATTTCCCCGGGACTTCCGAGTGCTTCAACCAACCTGCTGCCGTAATCAGATCAAGAGCGAGTGCTCTTGAACTTTTTTCCCGCATCGACCACTCCGACGCGATGCTTGCTTTCAGTGCGCCGAAATCCCAGCTTCCTGAACGCGCTTTTCACTTCAGCAAAAAAAAAAAAGATAGAAAAGAAACCCGTCTGCTGGGAGTTGCTCTCGTCGGTGGATTCGATCGAACGAACCCTTTCTCGCGAGATCGCTTCAGGTTTATCCCGCCTCATCCGCGAGGGGACCTGAAAGCTTAGCTGTTGAAAATGGGTTTACATGGTTCTTTTCTTTCCATCGGTGACGGATGCTGAAACCATATGCCAGAGAAAACATGGACTGGCTTGATGGAGTTAGATCCGATCCAGACGCCGAGTTGGAAAATCTAGGGGAAATACGGCAATAATTGTTGCGAGAATTTGGCCAGTCCCGATGATTTCAGCAGAGCTATGAAGTTCATGACGGATCCCTATTTTCCTTTCGTAGAAAAACATTATGTTCCTTCAAAAAAGCAAACAGACTACGGTACCTTGCGGTATTAACGTAGATACATTCAAATATATTCGTATGTAGGAATACAGTACTGCAACGCGCCTCTTTGACTTCGATTCATTGCAGAAATTCTATAATAAGATTTCCCAAACAGGATAATGTACAGTCCCTGTAAATTATACCGACAGACAGCAGGACAGGAAGATTGTGATGGCTTTTTATTGAAAAACTAAAAACAGGCGTCTTTATCAGATGGATAAAACGAATTTCTCACTGCTCATTGCCTTTCGGACATCGTATACACGAGGGTTATCGCATGTCGGTCATGTGATTTAGCTCCCTTATGGACATAATTTTGATTGGGTATTACTGAGACTTGAAAGAGCGCCCCATCATGAATTATCTGGTCACTTACGTAATTCATGAATAATCGTCTTCCAGCCCAAGCACAACAAAAGAAAACATTTAAAATATATTTAAATATTCTTTTTTCACAATTGTGCGAGTCAGAGAGCCTTAATCCGATGGAAAAGCATAACTTACGTAATTCATGAATAATCGTCTTCCAGCCCAAGCACAACAAAAGAAAACATTTAAAATATATTTAAATATTCTTTTTTCACAATTGTGCGAGTCAGAGAGCCTTGATCCGATGGAAAAGCATTCGGAACTTGGATTTCTTCAAGCAGCTGCAATTGAAATGACAATTGAGCGCTAAGTCGCAGAATTACGTCTCGGGATGAATCCAGAGGAAAGAAGGCCGGAGACATTGAACAGAACCTTTACATAATATCCTCTAGGCAGCACTGGGGAACATTCTGGCTCATGTCCCTGGTGCTGCATGCATGCGTGAATTGTCCATCTTCATTAGAATCTCATGCTTTCAAATTTGTCTCCAACACAGACGGCGAGCGGGAATTCCAGAGTGAACCACAGCATGCGGTTCGCGGCGTACAGGTCGGGCCAGGCCCTGGCCAGCATCACCGCCTCCGTCACATATCAAACCCCGACTTCGAGCACGTGCCGCCCCAGGGACCAACCCTCGACATCCGCGGGACTTCAGACGGTTTCCGAGCCGACGGGCGGCGACCAAGACGGCGAGGCGTCTTACATACAACCGTCACATATCAAACCCCGACTTCGAGCACGTGCCGCCCCAGGGACCAACCCTCGACATCCGCGGGACTTCAGACGGTTTCCGAGCCGACGGGCGGCGACCAAGACGGCGAGGCGTCTTACATACACGACTTTCCGAATGGCGAGTCCAGCTCGCCGCCAAACGTCGCCCACACGTCGTCCACCGTATTCGCCGCCGTCATCAGCAATGACGACGCTGACGAGGGCTGCACCGCCATCGCTTAGATCCGAATCATTCCTGTCACATCCCACTCCTTCGCGAGCAAGGATCCCATTCTTTCCCGTTTTTTTACTGCAGAGATCGACTCATTGCGAGCAGGATAGAGAACGTACACACACACACACACACACACACACACACAAAACTGCCCCGTCTGTAGATATTTGCAATCTGTGTGGAATCGTTTACAAACCTGGGTCAAATGTACCAGTGAACTTCAATCGCACATTTTATAATTCATACCATGCTCCTTATATGAGGAGAGTGCGCTTATAGTTTTATATTCACGCGCAAAAAAAGGATCTACGTGAATATCTAAGACAATATCCTCAAAAATGGAACCCCCAGAACAAATGTTTTGTGTGATCTCGTATATTGCGATCAGTGTTCTTGGAACAAGAATTCCTGAAACTGATGATTAGATATATTTTATGAAGTCGTCTGTGATGATGAATGGTTTTCTTTTGGGCAACCAGAACAAATGTTTTGTGTGATCTCGTATATTGCGATCAGTGTTCTTGGAACAAGAATTCCTGAAACTGATGATTAGATATATTTTATGAAGTCGTCTGGATGATGAATGGTTTTCTTTTGGGCGATTATCATGCTGATGGTCTGTATTTCCTCGGAAAAAGGGGGAAGACGCTTCATCCAGGTTGCTCGACATAGTTCTAAAAAAAGTTGATTTTTCTTTCCTCGATCGAAATGGATCAGAGCGGAGAACAATATGATGTGATGAATCACTATAGCGATGGTCACTTGACCTGCAAGGGAACAACTGGCGATAAGCGGAGAGCGACTCCACGAGATCAGTTTGGCATTCCTGATTTACGGTGTTTAAGCTGTTTTAGACAGATGTCACGCTTCTGAAAAGGAAAGAGAAACCTTGGAGGGGGCATTGTGTTTTATGAGACGTGGATGAGTCACCAGCGTTTAGTGTTGACGTTATGCCCCTCGTACGCTTGTCTGTGCCCGTTTGGAAGTGACTGACAGAAAAAAAAAACTTTCTGTGAGACGATATCTGTAGATTTAGATCGCAATCCACTGGCATTTGTAAATAAACCGGATTGGCAGTGTTGCATTTTTCTAGGATTCAACAGTTTTTCTTCTGCCGGAAATTGGATGATTGTCTGGAAAATGTCTATGCTTACCACGGCATAACCGTTTGATTGCATGGTCCATGTGAGTTTTAACCGATGAACGCTTTCAATACCTGAACCGGTTTTTTTTAAATTCTGTGTGCTTCTTTTTTCAAGTGTTTGAAAGATGACATACCAAGTCGAAACTTCGTAATTCCCTAGAGCGCTGTGTTTTAATGTGAAATGCATATTTCGATATTTGCCCTCAAATTTGCGATTACTTAGTCTATGGTGCCGCTTTTACTTCACACAGTTGAAGTCGTTCCCGGTGCCGGATTTTCGGCGAAGGTTCTATATAGTCTGATGACGAGCTGGAAATCTTTCGATAAATACATGCAAACACTGTGTGGAACACTGGTAAGCCTTTAATGCAACTTCAGAATCAGTTCAAAGTGAGCATTCAACCCGACAATGTGGCAAGGAAAGCGCGGAACGAGAAAAAAAATCCTCGTAACAAATTGTGCAGTTCGGCATTTCATCTGAAGGAATATTTGTCTCAGATGAGCTGAAAGAGTATAACTGAACAAAATAAAATTTAATTGTTCAAATCAATCCAACGCAGTTGTCAGGACGATGCAAGGTTCAGTAATCTTTTTTTTTTTTTTGCTCAACGACTGTAACATTTACTACAGAAGCCTCACATCGCTCATATTTTCCCCCTTTATTCGCGAAATCTGAAATCGTTCTCAGCACGCGCGCATTCGCACACACAAACAAGTACCGTGTCCGGTACTTCAGAAGCGTGCGGATCGGAAGTGACTCGAGCTGCTGCGTTCAACGTCCACATTCGCGAACCAAGTACAACCCTGACGATCCGAATACCGGGAAATAATTCCACCGCGGCCTTTTGTTCCAGGAGTACATGACTGGATTCCTACACTCATCCCGTAACCGGTTCCTGTGACCAACAAAGAAACAATTCACCTGCTAAAAGAGCCAAGCATGGCAAAAAAAAACGAAAAAAATAAATAATAAACCCTGAAGATTGAGTGTAATCCTCTGACGCGGTTCTATTCGTAGGCCTTCGGCGAAATTTGGATATTTTTACTTGAATGCCCGACCTAAGTTTTCTTTTGAAACATGCATCTAGGAAATCCTTGTTCGAAGCGGAAAAAAATTCCTAAACTTTGTGCATCAGACTGTGAAAAAATACCTGAGTATGTCAATTAAAAAAAAAACTATCTTCAACTCGCAAGGTTACTGATTAGGTTTGATGAATAAATATCTCGAAATTCTTGAGGTGATTGCTTGGAAGGGTTAATCCGCGCAGGTAGTGAATGTGGACTAAAATAATAAGAAATCCCCGAATATGAATGGACTGTGACGAACAGCTCTTGACCTAGCATATCCAGTTTTAGAAAACATTGTTGAATTAATAAACCCGGTAAACAAACACGTGAGTCACAAAAAAAGGGGTTTCCATGCCCCCTTGTTCGATTGAAAACCCCCGGTCCATCGAGTGAGAAGAACCAGAAAAGTTGAAACAAAACCTTCCGGGCTACTTGAAACGTTTGCCAATGCAGCCTTTCGGATCAATGCGAAGTTCGAAGATCGGAAGTCGTGAAATTTAAACCAAAAAATACCTACGAGACTTATTGCTGCATATTCGAAAAATAAATAGGGAATACTCAACAAAAGAAAAGATCTCCGACATATATAGTCTTCGACTCTCTGCGCGATTGCTCGTGGATCGCAGCTATGGTAGAATCACGGGATGCTGCAAACATTTCAAGATGCCAGAGGTTCTCGTTTATATGTAGGACTAAATTGAACAAGTCAATTTGCTCGGAACGCGAAGTGCATCCCCGGAATGTACGCCATCATTTGGGATCCCCGCCCAACGTGAAACATATAATCTTGTCAACATACGCCGAGAAACTATCCAGCCACGGTCTGTGCGAAGCCTCACATCTAAACAGCAAGTAGAAAATACTCTGAAAGCAAACTGCGACTACCTTGGCCACTTCTTTCCACAAATTTGGCCCTCTCATTCATTCTTCATATGATCATCTCCCATACGAAAACCAATCGTAAAAATAAACCACGCAGGCCAGAGAAGCAGTGAATACTGAGACAGGTTTTTTGCCAAGTCAGCTCGAAATATTGTTCCCCCGTCCGCGAGTTTCTTTGGTAAAGGCTTGCAAAAGTTAGCACAAGTATCTCCGGTTTCTTCTTTGGCAGGCAGTTTCGTTAGTTTTGAACTCGTTCCGTATTGGCTCTCTGAAAGGCAACAGAAGTTGACGAGAAAAAACCGGCAACGTTTCCGTGAATCGTGAAAAGGGTATATAAAACGCGCACGGATGTCTGAAAATGGCAAAAAAAAAAACCAGTGGTTTTGGTTAGTTATTTCATAGAAAGCAGGCAGATGAAAGAGCGAGCTAAGGACGAAGTGACGACGGCAGCTGACGAGGACATATTTTACGCTGTCAAGGACGGTCCGCTCTTCCAATCCCTGATTCCATGCCGTGCACCATGCAAAACGCTGGTTCGAAGAGGTGCAGCAGAGAGAGAGTCTTCTTTTTCTTTTCTTTTGTCAATATTGGACTGATGATTCGGGGTTCGAGTCGACGGGAAGGAAACAGACGGCATCATCTGCAAAATGTGGTGGGCCACGTCGAGGGGGGGAAGATGAAAGAGAAGAACACGAGCGTCCGAGAAAGTGCCGAACGTGCTGCGGGTTGTAGCGAAGCGACGCAGGGGTCGTGATCGACTCCTGACGATACCGAGGCTGGGCGGCGGTTGGTCACTCATTTGGCGACGGCGGCGGCGGCAGTGGTGTCGCCGTTGTTGTGAGCTTCTTCCTCGCCTTCTCGCTTGAATCCGGTCACGTAGCCGGAGTCGTCGTGTTCTTCGCGGCGCCCCGCCAGGCCCTTGCCCTTGCCCGAATCGTCGAAGCGTTCCTTGTGCGTCCCGGTGTACTTGGTGGTGTCCGTCAGGCGATCCAGGGCTCGGCTTTTCACCACGGCCTGGAATCAGAAAAGCTGCGAGTAAGATGTCGCTCCTCGCAATTAAAAAGAAAGAGTACAGAGGAATGGTGCGGCATCTACAATCCGTCAACTACTGAATATCGTACCCCTACCTTTCGTAGCGGGCATCTACCGTACTTCACATCTTTTTTAGCTTACATTTCAATACAACTTCCACAACTAACATCTTCACTTAATCTCTGTAATAATTCTTGTTTGACCTTCATCGCTGATATCACCTAGAAACACGGTGTGCCAAAATGCGGGTGTAGAAATCGCTTTAAAAAGAAATCTAAACGGAAATTCCCTCAAATGTTGTAGTATGCAGTGCCCCTCATATTTGGGATACATGCAGTTCAGCTTGGATAACTCAAACCTCCCTAAGTCGAATACTTCCCAATGTTTAATTGTCTCAAGTCCCTGTCAGAATTCCCTCAGAAACAATGCAGTACTGTACATTTGAACCGTCTTAACTTGTAGGTTTTCCTCACTCAAACCTACATAACTAGAATTTTCTGAAGGCCTATATATTGGCTATTATTTTATCGACACGAAAAAGAGAAAACCAATGAAAATTGTTGATGTGTTTTGAAAGGAAGTGAACAAGTAATTGGGCAAATAAACCCTTGCCTTGAAGTTCAGCATCCTTTGAACTCATTGAGGAAGCAATTTAAGGCCCAGGATATCACCAATGCAATATCCTGTAATTCTTTTCTATATTTCCCAATAAAAATATTTTTTCCCCCAAACTCGAAATTTTTCGCAGGTCCCTTGAAGTTGGACTGCTTATGTTGTTCAGTAGAATACTATTATATGATTTCCTCAATTCTTAAAACGGTATCGTACTAAAATGTTCATTAATTTTTCGTAGCAAGCGTTCTTCCTCTTTCTCTCTCTCTTTGTCTCGTTTACTTCTGAAACGAAGCAGATATGACCATATGACCGGATTGCATCAACGACGGCGGATGTTTCATCAGATGTCTGAGCCCTCGGAGTGATTGCAGTAATTACCGTCGTTTTAGTGGTCCCAGGCAAACCGCAAGTCTTCAGCCTCTCAATGATCGGCTCAAGTTCTACTTTTTTGGAGGTCGCCAAGGCTTCCAAGAACTTTTTGTAATCTGCACAGTTGATCTTCATTGCCCTACACAGCAGAATCGTATACAGAACAAGGACCTGAGTGTGACAATCAACCGGTTCGAGAGTCCGGTGTCGGTTCACTAACTTGAACTTTTTGAACTGGATCGCGGTGTCCGTCGTCGTAATTTTCTTGTCAATGACGCCGGCTTGCTTCATCCATTTGTCGCTGTTGGATAGAGTGATTAGCTTCCCGTCGGATTTATGGTCCCCGAATTTGGAGAAGGCCTTGAATTGAGACTCTAGGGTTTCTTCGTGATCGCCAGTGTCCGCCATATCCTGTTGAATAATCATTTCAATCAGCTTTGCCCTCAATGCATTCAGAACAAATTTGTTTTTCCGAGAAGACGCCGACGGGTATACTTGAAATATTTTTTACCTTAAATTCCCAAGATTTTGCCATTACCTATGCACCTTCTAGAATTTATATCAAGTGTATTTTTAGGAAGTCCGAAGGTTGGTGCGCAAATTTACATACATTCACTTCGCTAGACAGTAGTCGATAATCGAAGAAATCCTTGGCGGTAGACTGACGGTCAAAAATCAGGTTTAGTCAATTTCGTACAATCATTTCCACTTTCTCCTCCATTTAAGCTTCAGTGCATAGGATAAAAAATAAATAAATAAAGCACACAAAGTTGATTCTTGAAGGGAAAACTCATCCGTTATTTCATATTCTTTTAAACTACCACATTTTGCTGAGTCCAACCGGTAAGAAAAATTTTGAAGAAACGGTAGACGATGAAAGTTTTAAATTTCTCAAGTGCCCACAATCAGTTGATTGAATGCCGAGTTTCAATATTTTCGCCAATTAAACGGACGGTGAAATGTGTTAGTATTCACGAGAAATTTGATGGAAGTTCTACAGCAGTTATCGAGATGAAAACTGAGAAAGATCCAAATCAATTTTGAAAAAAAAACGTGATTATATACCGAGCATGTTCGAAAATTTAATCAGGGAGTAGACCCCAAAAATATAACATGAATCATCTGAAAATCATATAAGAAGTGTGGGATTTTTTTTTTGAATTTGAAATAAAGTAGTACCAAACATTTTTATTCTTGAAAAATTAGAGTTCGAAAAGAGAAATTTACTACCTGACTTGACTGGCCAAATTTTTGAAAAAATAATAACCAATTAGGAAAACCTCCGATTAATTTTTTTTTTCATGGATGCCGTTAAGCACACTCACCTCGAGGTTCTTGCGCCGTCTGAAAACCGTACTTTCAGGTCAAGTATAATTGACAGACACTTCACCTGATGTGGGGAAAAAACACACCACTTCTCAAGCAAATATTTCTGGATATTAAGCATTCACTGCAACGAGATCTACGCTCATTGAAGAAATAGACCGTGTATATGCCTTGATGTGACCAGTTTTTCTGCAGTGCTGAGGAAACAAGCAACGCTGACCTCGCAACGTCGAGAATAAGGAGTGATTTTTTCCTTTGATATTCAGTCGGCAACTTGGGAGTTGCGTTGAAGGAACGTCCTTTTTTGACCTAGTTCTGCGCGCTATTATCGGAAGGGGTCATCAAACTGGCTACCGACTCTTGGATGAAAAATTCATCACACCACAAGCTCCAGATCTAAAATGCGTTGCTTGGATTGCTCAAGGATAATCAGTTTGTTATGATCTTTTAGCGCTTGTAATTTCTATATTTTCACTGGATCGAGTAGTTATTACGACATTTTCGGCTAGCTCCGCCGAAAATAAAACCACGAGAGAAACTATTTTTTCTACTTTTTGTTAGGTTTCCGAAAAGTTTCGGTTTTTTGATTGAACAGCTCGCCGATTTGGATACCTTCGTCGAGTTTCACTGGAAATACATCATTCTGATGCAAATACCAAAGAAGAAACGTCAACTTGAACAGTAAGCATTCATTTTCTAGACATTCGCACCAACTGCTGAGCCCGTATAATTTTTTTAAAAGCGAAAGTTCACTTCCGAAATTAAAATGTCAGCACAGCCCATTATGAGTCCCAGATTCCCATCGCGACACAGAAAACTTGAACCTAATTCGCAGTACTTTCCATGGCGATCGGCGATCAGCAACATTTCCCCTGCGAACGTGTTGAATTTCGCTCGTTTGCCCGGCGGTATTTGCGACCGACTGAAGCTTTTTACATCGCGGGCCCCTGTTTGAGTAACAGGGGGCTCGACACTTACTACCAGCAACCCGTGACCAGGATAGCATCTGGCGAGCACCGAAAAGCGGATCGCGTTGACCAACGGGCTCATCAGCAATCTTTTCGAGTAGGTTGGAAAATTGCGGACTGAGGCAGGAGTCAAGTAATTCAATTCCGATTGTACTGGGCGTTATGGCCATTGAACGATCCGTTTAACAACTGTTCGGTAAAGGACTGGGCTACAGAGGGGCGGAGAAAGGGCAACGTAGTAGGCCCAAAGTAACAATTACAAAACGAAGGGTAAAGCTCCTTAAGGCCTCGCCGTTTTTCGGATAGTAGTTTAGACGGTGAGCATGAAATCCATTGCCATGTAGTACCGTAGGATTCAGCCCCAAAGCCGCGGTCCACATTAAAAAAAAAGTTTTTAAAAAATTACAAGGTATAATAATTAAACTGACCTTTTAGAACTAGACCAATAATTTCCATTGGTTATTTTATTTTCATGTTTAAAGCCCATATTTGTTCTACCATTGCACGTATTTTTTCAAATTGAACCAAGCACCACCTTTTTTTATTCTGCAAATAGTAAATATGAATCCAATCACAAGTATAAAAACTCACGTGCATTAAGCAAAAAGATGAATTATATTTTGCAGTTCACTTGAATCTGCGTAGCCCTGTACTGCACACATACGTGAGTATGAAAGGCTTCAAGTAACACAACGAACCGATTACAGATGAATAATTAATCACAAGTATTCCAATAATTTTGTGTACCGAAGCTTTTATCCTTACTCAATTTCGTTGAGTTATTTTCTTTTCAAGCGGCTGAAAAGATTTTATTTGGTCACATACGAGAAAGGCGACAAAAAGATATGAAGTGGACATGACGGACATTCGCAAATAAAACCAGATGTCGGAACAAGAATATACTCCATGAATAGCAGAAACTGGCGTTTGCTGATTTTTTGCGGGGAAACGAAACTTTTTGATAGTACGAAAACAAGTCACGGCAATAAACCTTGAAAAGCTATGAAATTCGATCTCCGGAACAGGATTGTGCGTCATCACGCGAAGTATCCGTAATTTCGTTCTACCACATGCGCATCCATTTGGTCCGTTTTGCCACTAGAGCATTGAAAAGTTAATTGCCGAGGATCACTGTAGCACTTTGTTTGATTTATAATGCATCACTGAGAATTCAGAAATACCGTCTTGTTAACTTCAGGTGCCTCCTTGCATTAAATTGATTTTCCTTATTTTTTTGGCATAATTTTGCACCGGATTTATCTCAATGATACGAGGAATGGTTCAGAAGTTATGGGACACAAGTGTACTTGACTCTGGAATCTCGGCCTGTTCTGAAGCCCAGGTTTTAGACCAGATATCTATCAAACAGGAATGCAATCAGAAAACTTTACTCAAGTCTTTATTGGTTGCTAAAGTTAATTCAAAGTTTCAGATCTGAAGTAGATAGTTTTTTTTTAAACCCCATTTGCAGTTGAGAATACCTGACATTTAACGGCGAAAATACAAAAAGTTTCGAGCATGTTTTCGTACGTAGGACATCGAAACTTTGAAAATTCTGCGAAGGGGTGAAATATATTCTTGCCGTTTTTTATGCTTGCAAATTCATCCAACATGCGTAAGTAAACCCTGTTTCCTCAATAAACTTAGAACGCTTTAAAATCTTACTATCCACTTCATTTGAACCTCCAATTTCGCAGAAATTCTAAAATTGGTCCTGAAATGATCGAAAATGTGTTGCGTAAAAATACAGCCCATTGCGATTAATTTAGCGATGAAAACAAAACACAATCCATCATTGCGCATAAATCATAAATGTAATATAGACAAATCCACCGTTTTTTGCTATTAAAATTTGCATGCAAGGAGCAGGCACTTCAACACACGGACGAGAATTTCCTCGAAGTTGAAAGAAAATTAAACCTCGAAGGAAGCTTGAATGAGACAAGGGATGAATAACACGTACTCATTTTTCAACCTTTTGCACATAATATCCGAGTCAGCAGTGGCGAACAGTTGCGGAATGTATAGATAGGACAGAGGACGCCTGGTGCCAAAAAAGTGCAATGAAAGCCCGAGCCCTAAAAGAACGAGGAACCTACAAGACTGGGGCTCCATGAGGAACATACGCGGACCCACTCGAAGTAATTGTGTTGCAGCCGGGGAAAACTGTCGGTTCTCGAGAGGAATGAGTCAGCACGGTGCACAAATCACAGTCTTTTTTCTTAGTCTTCTTCATGGACAGAAGTGCAAAGACTTCAGGAGCTGAAGGATGTGGGGGACATATCAAAAGTAAAAGCAAAGGAGCATTACACACACGGCTCCAACAAAACTTCCGGTCTTCAAACTCATCCAACTGTAAAATTGCGCTATGCAATGGAAACCCTGATTATTTTTCACCCGAACCCAAAATGAACGGTTCCCCAACGACGTCAGCGTCAGCCCCAGAGAGAAAATATCGAAGAACCGCGTCACGTCAAGTCAGTCAACCGAGTTGCAATCCTGGGGAAACGGTTAATAAATTTCAAGAATTATACTTTACTTGATGCAATGAATAAATAAAGATTCGTTGATATCCAGCGAAAGCTTTCAATCACAGAACCTCCTCAAGTAGGAAAGATTTAAAGAGATTTTTGCTGATCTCGAGGAATTTTTTTGGACGATGAATTAAACGCAAATGTCCCACATAACTTCTCTCCCCTAATTATTTAATATGGGGAGATCCGCTTAAACCAATATTTTTCGTCTCTCTTCCAAGTTGGAACACAATTTTCTTGCCATTTATGTATGGAAGAATTATAAAAATAATTTCGCTCATCTCCGATATGACGACAATAACAGGATGAGGTCAGGGTCCCGCGTGACTTCCAAACCTTTTTGACCAACCCTCGTAGCACCCTTTTTCCCGCTGATTCAACTCGAGTATCTTCCTGAAGACAAACCCATTTCTGTCAACATTCCCGCATTTACTCATACGGTTTACGTGGAGTAGAATTTTCTCAAGCTGGGGATTTGTCTTCCGCGTGAATGAAGTTGCGTGATGTTTTGTATGATAAGGTCTGCTGGAAAGATATCGAATTTACGATTGAGACGTATAGTATATACGAGGAACCGCCGTGAACCAGGCTTCAGACGTGGCAACCCGACAACCAGGTATTTTGAATCACGGTGCTGTGTCTACTCTGCAGGGGTGTGGCAAGTGCACTTCCTTTCTCCCCGAGGCTAATTATTCTACCCTTTTTTTTTTTTGCGCATCATAAGTCACATTCACAGTACATAGAATGTTCTTCTTCCTGCTCACCTGGTATTGATCGTAACACCGGAGCTAGAATAAAGCGAACAAGGACCCACTTCAATCCTCTCTCTCTCTCTCTCTCCTCTCACCGACACATTCTGCGCGCAGCCTTTGTGCTTTGTTCATGCCATCTACGCAAGGAAATCGCGAGCAGGTGTTTCTCGGTTCCTCTATTTTGGGGATATTATGCAACCATAGCTCTTTCTTCCATCCCGTGATTCTTTTCCAAATTGACACGGATGAGTTGAAGTGAGATGAACGGTTTCCGACAATTATGCAAATTTTTCAAAAAATAGCTCTTCTGCGAACTTTCCGCGTCGCGTCTTCCGCCGAAGAATAAGCGGGTGTGTATGCGTGTGTTCGTGTGTGTGTGGGTAAAAATAGTATTCGTCAGGAGCTCAGGACTTGTCATTGAATGGAGTTGATGCGTTGGAATTGGATGCTTTCGCGCTTCCCAGCCTGCTCGTCGTGTGAGACACTCGAAACCTGCATCGGTATCATCAGGTAGAAAATACGAAAGCGGCCAGGGAATCGAATTGCTGTGCCACACGAATCGAACTCCATCTGATAGGTTCGGAAGTTGCCAGTTATCTTGAAATTATTATTGAGATTTAAATAGGGTAAGACTGTTTCTCAAAAAAATCGTCCCTTTTTCGATTCGTTGGATAGCCTGAGGAGGGGACTGGGATGAGGCATTGACATGGAAGCTCGCTGAAGTTTTCCCGAAATTCTTCGCGACACTTCTTGAGGCCCGCCATCAGCAGCGAAGAAAAAGTTTCGTCACACACAAGATTTCATTGCGGTAAAAAAAATGGACAAGTTGGGACCAGCAGAGATGAGGGTATGTTTAGCAGGCAGAAAAAACATGCTTTCGTGACTCAACAGGGCGGAAACAATTGAAATCCACGGCACTAGGCGAAAAATTGTGGCCAGAGCTGTCCCCGGAGTGAAACTGATGCGTGCGACTGCATCCCGGGACGCCAAAATCGCGCCTCTCGGCATCTTCTGTGTGACGCGCGGAGCTCGGGACAGGCGTGCAAGAAAAGTCAGGATTGCATTCAGTACCCGGGACATTTTTTTTGCTTTCTCTTTCAATTCCACTTGCCATCGTCCCGTAGTTTGTTTCATTGCTTCAGAAACGTAGGTCGCGTCACTTGAACGCCTCTTGTGGTAAGTTGAGCCCAGGGCAGTTGTCTTATCGTGATACAGTTCACGCGACAACAGCACAGGAAGTCTCTTTATTTATTTTCCAGTAGAGATTTCCCGGATTTAACTTTTGCATGTATGCCCGTAATTTTACAGTGAGAAGTACGAGCGCCTATTGTTTTTGAATTATGAAAAAATGGTATTAATCTGGATATTTCAACAGCAAGAAAGCTCATCAATAAAGCCGTCTCATGAATTCATGCATGCCTTCATGTGCTGTATCTGGAGAAAATTCCTGAATTTTTCGCTTGAGAAGCCGCACATTATTTTGTCAATTATATTTATTCCATTTCAACTTAACGTCGACTTTTCGGGCACCGTTCACATCGCATATGGTATTTTCTCATCCACACATGCCTGGTATTCAAGAACACATTTCATTATACTTCCTTGAAGTGCCTCGTATCTCCTATAGGAGAACAGGAAGTGGAAAACCCCTCCCTATAGATAGTGTATTTCGTACCCAAGGCTCGGGTCACAGGTTTTTCGCAACTGACAAAAGTTGAGGCGATACAACTGTTCATACACATTCACGGAGTTTGATAATGCTGCATTCGGTGCTTGCGTCAAATCGTTTGCCAAGG